ATTTTTAGTAGAGACAGGGTTTCACCATGTTGACCAGGATGGTCTCGATCTCTTGACCTCGTGATCCACCCGCCTCGGCCTCCCAAAGTGCTGGGATTACAGGCTTGAGCCACCACACCCGGCCCTATTAATCCATTTCTATTTCAGTTTCACTAAATGTTTGTATTCTGCTTATATTCAAAGCAAGCTAGGTTGGCCTATTGTCTTCACAGTTTTCAAATCCTTTCATAAACATTAAGTTGTCTGATCTCTATAAGTACTAGAGATATTGATCTAGTAAAGCAATAAAATGGGGCCCGGCGTAGTAGCTCGCAGGCGGATCACCTGAGGTTGGGAGTTCGAGACCAGCCTGATCAACATGGAGAAATCCCATCTCTACTAAAAATACAAAATTAGCTGGGTGTGGTGACACGTGCCTGTAATCTCAGCTACTTGGGAGGCTGAGGCAGGAGAATTGCTTGAACCCGGAAAGGCGGAGGTTGCCGTGAGCCAAGATCACACCATTGCACTCCAGCCTGGGCAAAAGGAGCGAAACTCCATCTCAAATAATAATAATAATGATAAAATAAAATAAAAATAAAGAAAAGTGTTGCCTTGATTCAATAGCCACTCATTCTGTAGAGAGTGATGAAGAACTGCAAGGATTTGAGAGCAGATCAGACTCGGGTTCCAGTCCTGTCCCTCCACTGACCGCCTCAGCCTTTGTGAACTGATCTGCAGTAGAAGCAGAGCTCGTGGAAGATTAATGAGAACTAAGTCATTGTGAGGGAAGAGAAATGTCAGCACTGATCCGAAGGCCCCCCGGACAGCCCAGCCCTTGGTTTTCATGTTTGAGCTGAGATGATGTGTTATTAGCCACAGTCCTTGTGCTGTCTTCTTGTTTGTGACCATAAAGGTTATCCTGGGGCATAGAGAGGTGGGACTGATACAGAATGACCACATAACGACAGTTTTCAGTCTGTTGAGTCAACTAGAGTGGACAGAGCAGAAATAATGCCCTGGTTGAAAGTTAATAGCTTAGCCTGCCAAATTATTTGCCGGAAAAAAATGCCTATTCTGTTGCCGCAGATACCAAGCAAAACAAACCTACTGCTCGGGCCAGTCGCTCAGAAGGCATCGCATGCTAATCTCAAGTCTGTTCATCTAAACCACTGTAAGTAAGTCAGGACAAATGATGTACGTGGTTTTGGGGTTTGGTTTTATTTATGTATTTATTCATTTATTTTTGGATACTGCTGTTTTGAACTATAAATCATGCTGCCACTCCCCTATCTGTAATCTGCTTTGGCTAAACCATGATGAAACATTTCTGGAGTTTGTTTTGCATTGGCGCTTATCAGAGCTCCTTACTGTAGGATCAGGGCTTGAGGCAAAGAGAAGGGAAAAAAACCACCAAACCTGCAATGAAAGCCCTTTGCCTCCCTTTTCCACCTCCAACTTTCCCCTCCTGTCTCCACAAGACCTGCTAAGGACACATTTTACAGAAAAGGGTGTGGTTCTAGTAAGAATGAAGAGACTTGAAGGCATCAAAATGGTTTCTTGGATTGTTCCGTCATATAGCCACATTTCTTGTGTGTCTGTGTGTGTGTGTGTGTGTGTGTGTGTGTGTGTGTGTGTGTGTGTGTGTTTATAAGTATGTGTGTGTCTATATATATATACGTGTGTGTGTCTATATATAGTGGATATATACCATATATAGACACACACGTATATATAGTATATTATATATACGTACTATATATATAGTATAATATATATGTAGTACATACTATATACTACACATAGACACACACATATATATGTGTGTTTGTAAATATATTTTTATATATAAATATGTATATATAAATATATAAACGTATATTTATATACTTGTATGTATATAGAAATATGTGTATATATGTTATATGTATATATGTATATGTCATATATAGTATGTATTTACAAATATATATTTTAAAATAGTTTATATTTCATCTATATTTTAAAATATGTATGTAATATGTATTTTAAATATGCATACATAAAATATACATTATCTCTTAATGTACATATATAAAAATATATTTACATATGAAATATTTTTAAATGCATACATATGTATATATGTGTGTATATAAATCTTTTTATATTAAAAAATATACATATATTTTTCCCCATGGGGTAAAGGGGAGGCAGTGATAGGCAAGGAAAGAGTGGAATTTAACCTCCGGGAATAAATCAAACCATTTGAAAGCCTTAAGGTAAATGCTTTTCTTTTCCATTACTAAGAACAGAAATAAAAATATCAGTTCATTAGCAGGATCGGAAGTCTTGGATGCTTTTCAGAAGAGAAACGACAACAACAATCATAGCTAATGCTTATGGAATATGTACCAGGTGCCCGGATTTCTGCCAGACCCCCAAAAGTTATCTCATTTAGTCTTCTTGACAACCATTTGAAATAAGAACCACCGTTCTTTATCTCTTCACAGTGGGAGGACCTGGTTGTGTAAAGAGGTTAAGTAACTTTACCCTGGTACTGTGAGCAACTGGGATTTAGCCAAACGGACTGGCTTCAGCACCTGGAGCAGGGAGCTGTCGAATTAAGGCTCTGGTTTCTATCCAGCTGAATGATGCTGGGGAGAATATTTTTTAAGGCCCCGATTTGCTTACCTGTAAACATAAAGGGGTTGTGATGGGTGATCTCAAAGATCCCCACCAACTCTCTGGCAGCTCATCAAATTAATATCCAAATCAATATCCATCGCATCCAGGGCACTGTTGCTGTTCATGCCTGCAGTTCACTGTAGGAAGGTAAGGGGTGGAGTGGAACAGAGAGGAGGTAGGGAAATGGCTGCATTCTGCCCCCAATGTTTTCCTAACAGGAGCAGCTGTTCCAATTGCCACAAGCCCGGGCAGGTAGGATTGCTAGGTGACTGCGGGAGTGAGACAGGAGCAGGGCCCACTCTTAACACGCCTCACGTGGCTGCCACAGTTGATCTTTTAGTTGAACCAGTTACTTTCTCCCTTGGAAGTGTCCTTACCGTCCACATCAATCCCCAATGCACTTCACAGTGGCTGCGAGATGTCTTGCAGCCGTGCTAGCAGGTGACCTCTGAGAACCCTCTGTAATGTGACCAGACCTGCTCTTCCTGGTTCCCATGAATTATACTGACTGATAGATACTTCCAGGAATTTTGCAGCAGCCCTGATGCTTTTTGTCTTTCTTCAGAAAAGGAAGTTGGAGAGGGGGTTGGGTTGAAAGGAGAATGAGAATCCTTTAAGTTCTTTGAAACGACCTCAGATCTGAGGTTGTCAGGCTTTTAAAGAGAGCCAGTAGGTTAGTCACTCCGCCTATTATAGATAATACTGTATCAACAGCTCCATTATCTGAAGCTCTCTTTGTGAAATGGGAACCAGCTTTTGCTCCCTGGGAACACTAACGATCACATTTTTCTCCAGCATGCAAACTTAGGTGTGTTTGCTTCATTATATGATAGCAACACCGACTCTTTCATATGAAATGTCACTCCTAGGTTCCATCTGCCCTCATGTCATGCCTCTGCTCCCAAGAATACAATTCATGATTCCCTCTTCCCATAGTCAGTGTGTGTGTGTGTGTGCGTGTCTGTGTGTGCGTGTGTGTGTGTGTGTAATATATTCTGACACATCATTAGAATCCAAGTTAATCTACCTCACAAATACTTTTCTGTCACTGATAATTTTCTACTTAGACATGTTACAAATGTATCTTTTTAAATCATATTTTTTAAAAAACAGAGTCTTGCTCTGTTGCCCAGGCTGGAGTGCAGTGGCGCGATCTCGGTTCACCCCAACCTCCGCCTCCTGGGTTCAAGCGATTCTCTTGCCTCGGCCTCCCAAGTAGCTGGGATTACAGGCATGTGTCACCACGCCTGGCTAATTTTTGTATTTTTAGTAGAGTTGGAGTTCCACCATCTTGGCCAGGCTGGGCTTGAACTCCTGATCTCATGATCTGCTCACCTCAGCCTCCCAAAGTGCTGAGATTGATTACAGGTGGGAGCCACTGCTCCCAGCCTTTAAATAATTTTTTGAAGAGTCAGGGTCTCACTGTTGCACAGGCTGGAGTGCAGTGCTGCGATCATAGCTCACTATAGCCTTGACCACCTCGGCTCAAGCAATCCTCCCACCTCGACCTCCTGAGTAGCTGGGACTGCACGTGCGAGCCACCATGCCTGGCACACATGCATTTTTCATTATCCATGTCTGTATGTTCGCAGAGGTAGAGATAACACTAAAATGAAAAGAGGTGGCAGAGAACAGGAAGAGAAATAAGCCAGAGGAGCCAGAATCCTTAAATGCTGTGGCTTCCAAGGACTGCCAGCAGGTTGTGGGGCTAGCCAGAAAAAATAGAGCCTCTGATTCTAGAAGGCTTGGAGAAAGTGTGAGAAGAGAAGGGAGATCAGATCGGAATAGATTGATGGAAGGAGGGCGGTGAGGGGGAAGCAAGAGAAACTCAGCTTGAGTGAAAAGGACCCGTCATTCCTTTCCAGAACGTAATTTGCCAAGATCCACCACTTGTATTTCATATGTAAATGAAGAGGCTTCCCGGAGGCTGGGCTGAGCTGGGCTGGGCTGAGCTGAGTCTCTGCAAACAGCAGGGATTCAGCCCTGGGGAACTGCAGACCTAAGTGCGAGAGGAAAGCACCGCATCTCCAGGCACATCCCACAAAAAGGATGGACGAGACACCGTAGAGGAGGATACAGGAGGATTAAAGCATTCGGGAAAAGCAAGCCAGCCCTCTGGAGAAGCTGTCGAAATTCAAGACTAGCAAGAGAAGTAAATTCAACCTCTCACACCGATCATTTCTCATTCCCTGAAAAGAAGATTCCTTCCCCAGGGAAGTGAAGATAATGAACTTTTGGAGATACTGCTTTCTTGCTTGTACTCTGCTCAGTGTGGTCATTTTTGTGAGATTTTACAATAGCCATTTGAGCCCGCCAAAAACTTACGAGAAGCTGAACAGTTCCAGTGAAAGGTATTTCAGGAAAAATGCCTGTAATCACGCGTTAGAGGAAAAGCCCATCTTTTTGTGGGAAAACATATTACCATCACCTTTGCGAAACATCCCTTGCAAGGATTACCTGACCGAGAATCACTACATCACAAGTCCCCTGTCGGAAGAAGAGGTTGCATTCCCTTTGGCCTATGTCATGGTCATCCATAAGGACTTTGATACCTTTGAAAGGCTCTTTAGGGCTATCTATATGCCCCAGAATGTCTACTGTGTTCACGTGGATGAGAAAGCCCCAGCTGAGTTCAAGGAATCTGTGAGGCAGTTACTGAGTTGCTTCCAAAATGCTTTCATTGCTTCAAAGACAGAGTCTGTGGTTTATGCAGGAATTTCCAGGCTCCAGGCTGACCTGAACTGTCTGAAAGATCTTTTCAACTCTGAGGCTCCCTGGAAGTACGTCATCAACACCTGTGGACAAGACTTCCCCCTGAAAACCAACCGGGAGATAGTTCAGCATCTGAAAGGATTTAAAGGGAAAAATATCACCCCCGGGGTGCTACCCCCTGATCATGCAATTAAGCGAACTAAATATGTCCATCAAGAGCATATAGGTAAAGGTGGCTCGTTTTTGAAAAAGACTAGTATTTTGAAAACCTCACCTCCACATCATCTGACTATCTACTTTGGCACTGCCTATGTGGCGCTTACTAGAGAGTTTGTCGACTTCATTCTCCATGACAAAAGGGCCATTGATCTACTACAATGGTCAAAAGATACCTACAGTCCTGATGAGCATTTCTGGGTGACACTCAATAGGATTTCCGGTAGGTACTAATTTCCATTCTCATTTCTTCTCATTGATGGATTGAGTTTGCTAACATTCTGCTCTCCCTAGAGAATTGACTCATGTGAAATTATTATGAAATAAATTTAAATACTTAGACAACCATTAATTTGGTTGCTTGTAGCGACAGTGTATTGTTGACTCTGTTGTCTTATAAGTATGCGTGATGTAGTCATCTAAGAAATACTGGGTTGCAATTGTCCCAGCGAAACTAACTTTGATTATGTAGTTGCTGAATTTTAACTGTGTTTTGAATTAATATTTTTCATAGTCCTTGACAAACACAGCTGTAACATAACAAAATTGACTTTTAACATAAGCATTCTAGAACTTATGAGTTGAAATAGCTGGTGTTTCTCTCAGACAAATGTTAGACATCGTTCCCCCTTGATGTAGTCCCACTGCTCAAAGTTCATGGAGCTGTTACAGGGGTGCTGGTTTTAGAATCTTGGAAGCTGCTTTGGATGTTCACACGTCATCATTCTGGCTGAAATATCTCTGGTTTAAGATCGGAACAAGTAGCCAGGTCTCAGCTCTTCTCAGTTCTACAAATCTAGCCTGATATTTTACCTGGAGGGAGCGAGTAACAATGAGTTGAAACACACGGAGAGAGAATTTAGCTAAAGATGATCCAACGAGAATTCTCAATTTTTAAGTCATAGGTTTTTATTGGAAATTCCAGCGTGCAGCCTCTTGTTTTTATATACTGTGAAGTCTTCGGTTGTTTATGATGATTTGGGAAGGCGTCCAAGGTATGCCAGGCAGCTGAGGCAGAAAATAGCATCAGGCTCCCTCTTTGGTTCAGGACTGGGTTTCTTTTCTAAACTCTGTTTCCCATAGGTGGTCTGTGACCTGCGTTACATTTTTCCCGTGTGTCTCCACGTGCTTGTTTTCAACAGCGACCCAGCATGGTTGTGGGTGTCCGTCCTGTGTGAGGGTGGCCCTATGCCTGCCATTCTTGAAATAACTCCTGGCTCTTCTGTCTAGTGTCCTTATCCTTCACACACTTTCGAGTGCTGCTTGAAGCCACCTGATACCTGAAAGTAGACTTCATGTGGAAAGGTCCCCAGTAACACAGCATTCCTAAGAGCTAAACTAGAGTGGTGGTCACAAAAATCTACTTAGAGAGGGATAGAAAGAGGATGGGCAAGGTGGCTGGAGACAAGAAAATTATGCTGTCCCATGAGCACTTTATTTCCAGAGCTGCTGAACTGTCAGGTCACAAAGACTTGTAGGAGGGGGAGTGAACCAACGTTTATCCTAGTGGTGCAAGTGTTAAACCTTTATTTACAATCACCTATTTTAAACACATGTAAACATTGCATGCATGGCATTTAATCTTATTTTTGTTGGTATAGTTGGCGCCAGATATGTGGTAGCCTCATGTACAGATGAAGAACATGAGGCTTAGAGAGACTGAAGCAGTATTGTGTTGACATTGTTCACATAGCTTTTCTTGGCAAAGCCGGTATCTGACTCTGCATTTGTGTAGACTGAAGTTTCGACACAAACTTCTCTTGCACCAGGAAGAGAAAGAATGGCTATTTCTTTTTACCTGTATATCTAAAGCAAATTTCCTGCAGAATCTCAGAATAGGGAAAGGATGAAGGTGTTCGGAAAAAATGAGAAGGGTCGTGGAAGGAAGTTTCACCTGATGACTTAGAGCTGGAGATGAGGTTAGCAGGGATAAGGAGTGTGTGTGGGATGTATGTGGTGTGTGTGTGTGTGTGTGTGTGTGTGTGTGTGGTGTCCCAATGTTTGTGTGGGATGTGGCGTGTGTGTGTGTGGTGTTTTTGTAGTATGTATGTGGTGTGTGTGTATGTGTGTGGGTGTGTGTGTGGTATGTGTGGTATATGTGCGTGGTGTGCATATGGTGTGTGTATGTGTGTGGTGTGTGTGTAGTATATGTGTCTGGTGTGTGTGGTGTGTGTATGTGTGTGTTTGTAGTGTGTGTGGTGTGTGTGTATGGTGTGTTTGTAGTGTGTTGGGTATATGTGGTGTCGTTTTATGGTGTGTGTGTGTGTGTCTGTGTGTGTGTACACAGCAAGTATGTGAGGCTTGTCAGGGTCGCTGTGCTCATGAGAGTCAGCAGGTATCCTTTCTCTAAGGGACCACTATCCCTCACAGGCTTCTGTGCTGTGTGCTGGGTGCATCTGGAGCAGGCTTTGTTCTGGGCCAGTGGCAATGGGAAGTGGCCCTTGGTTGATGTTCTCAGAGAAGCTGGGGAGTGAGAAGGAATCAGGCAGATATGAATGGTTGAGTATTAAGTGTTAGTGACTTTTTCTTAAGAGTGTATTGGGCTAATTTTCCCTCACCTCAACCACTTGCAAAAAACAATTTTCCTGAATATGTCAATTTTTTTTTTTTTGGCCTGGCTCTGTGGCTCACACCTATAATCCCAGCACTTTGGGAGGCTGGGGTGGGTGGATCACCTTAGGTCAGTAGTTTCAGACCAGCCTGGCCAACATGGCGAAACCCTGTATCTATGAAAAATACAAAAATTAGCTGGACATGGTGATGTGCGCCTGTAGTCCAGCTACTTGGGAGGCTGAGGCAGGAGAATCACTTGAACCCACGAGGTGGAAGTTGCAGTGAGCCAAGATCGAACCATTGCACTCCAGCCTAGGTGACAGAGCAAGACTCCATCTCAAAAAAAAAAATAAAAAATTAAAACTTTTTAAAGTTAGCGTTTAAAAAGCAATAGGAAATATATTTTAAAGGTCTCAAATTTTTAAAGTTTTCCTTCTATTAGCTACCATTGTTAATACTTCCTTGTACATCCTTCCAGAGGTACTTTATTATGTTTATAGACAAGAAAACTAATTGAACATGTAGAGACATTACATATGGACTTTGAGTTCACTAGAGTTATACTCAGAAAAGGAAAAAGGGTCCTTATTTTAGGTGCCATATTGTCTGAGAAACAAAATACAGCAAGATGTGTTCTTTATTTAAATAGATCAAATGTAGATATTTAAGGAGCTCTTTCTTCATTATGTTGAAGCATTTTTAAAGCTAGATATGAAGAAGTTTCTGGAATGAAGTTATCAGGGACATTTGCCCCACAGCATCCAACCGCAATGAATGTGCAGAATTCTCACCGGTAGAACACCTGCTGTTCCCTCAGGCTTTATGATAGCTTCTCCTTACTTTTTTTTCTTTTTTGAGACAGAGTCTCGCTCTGTCCTCCAGGCTGGAGTGCAATGGCGCAATCTCAGCTCATTGCAACCTCCACTTCCCACATTCAAGGAATTCTCCTGCCTCACCCTCCCAAGTAGCTGGGATTACAAGCAGATGCCACCACACCTGGCTAATTTTTGTATTTTTAGTAGAGATGGGGTTTCACCAAGTTGGCCAGGCCGGTCATGAACTCCTGACCTCGTGATTTGCCCACCTAGGCCTCCCAAAGTGCTGGGATTACAAGCGTGAGTCACCACGCCTGCCCTGGCTTCTCCTGATTTTAAGGGACCTTTAAGGCTTGGCCAGACAAGGTGGCTCACACCCATAATTCCAGTACTTTAGGAGGCTGAGGCAGGAGGACTGCTTGTGGCCAGGAGTTCGAGTCCAGCCTGGCCAACATACTGAGATCCTCGTCCCTACAAAAAATTTAAAAATAGCTGGGTGTAGTGGTGCATGCCTACGGTCCCACCTACTCAGGAGGCTGGGGAAGGAGGATTGCTCGAGCCTGAAAAGTCAAGGCTGCAGTGAGTGTGACTGCACCACACCACTGCACTCCAGACTGGGTGACAGAGTGGGAATCTGTCTCAAAAAAAAAAAAAAAGGCCAGGCTTAAGCTCTTCATGTGACATGACTTCCAAGACCTGGCTCCCCACCCCCTCTGTCTCTACCCTCATTTCTTTTTATTTGATGCCTCATACTTTATGTACCAACAACTACTTGGTCCCACACATATCAGCAATTTTCATCTATTTTTTAATGGCTTTTTATGACATCCTCTCATAAAGAATGCCCTTCCTACCATCTCTGTCTAACTCTTCATCTTTCTGGCCCACCTTGGAGGTCATTTCCTCTGGAAGTCTTGTCTGATCACTGCCCTCCCAGATGTGTTTCAACTCTAGGTTCTCCTTGACCTAATGCCACTGCTGCCAGCATTGAATTGTGGTCACCTATTAGCTGTCTAGCTCTTCTCCCGAACCTCCTCAGTATTTTAGCTCCTTAAGCGTAAGAAAAGTGACATCTGTCTTTATGTTCGCCACCACGACTCCTATGCTGCATGAATCACTATGCACCTGCTTGATCTGACAATATGCAGGGTGCTGGATGGGTACGGAAGGATCTGGGGAGGAGCAGGAATATGCCGGAGAATTCTGAGAAGATGTGTGGAACAAAAGTGTACCCTGTACCTAGGATGAGGGATAATTCTTGGTAGTAAGGATTAGAGAAACAGTAGGTACAAGTCCACAATGGCCAGGCCAACCAATGATATCAGTAAATATGAGAGAGTCCCGAGAGAATTAGCAAGCTCCATTTTACTCCAGATAAAATGTTAATGGGATAGAGCCCTTCCTTAGAAAATCTGGCTCCCACACAGCCAACCTGGGTCCATGATGCAGTCGGATTCTGATGCCAAGAGAAAGCTGTGGCAGGCAGTGCATGGGGACGCCCCCACCTAGTTTCTGCCTCACTTGCACCTAGTGTGAGTTTCCTCCACCCCTGCCACCCACTCCCACCTCCTGCTGGTGCCACTCCTCCTGCTAGTACCGGGCTACTCACATTCATGCACTGAGCGTCTTCTGACTTAATTTGATCTAGACTTCTCCTGAATTGCTGGCTTAGGGAAAAAACCAATAGGCGAGGTTTAAGAAAGAAACTCAAAACATCTCTCCAGCTCTCAACAACTGTAAACACTGAGCTATTTAGAAGGCATGTGTTCTCTGCAGAAAGGTTACCAAGGCCTTAAATCTGGGTGTGGCTGGATCAGCCCCAGTCTTTTTCAAAGTATGTATTGTGTTCTCTGTG